ATAACGATATCAACCCTGCTGATCTAAAAAAGGACATGTTCCCGGATGAATTACCCGAAGATGCACCATCGTCTTTCTCCGCTGAACCATTAGAAGATGAAGATGAAGAATACGACGTTCATCCAAAACACGCTCCTGTTTAAACGGATTATGACAATATTCCACGGAAAAAGACAATATTACATTCGTTATTATAGTCATTTAGTTGGCGAAGTTCGTTTAAAGCGAAAGAGGTGCTTTAATTTCCATACAAACGTTTATTGTAATAAAGACAACTCCTTTGTTCATTTATCACTGTGAAGTGCAAGTGTTATTTTTACTGTTTTTGTTGCGATAGTCGTCCGCTGAAAGGCACTTCGAAACTGCTACTATATTTTTTAGCGTTACTGTGCAGACTCAGCCGATTGGGAGTTTAATAGGCCATTTCCGAGTTCGTAAAACTCTCACTTTCAAAACGATGCTAAGTGCAAAACCTTTCACGACCTAGCCTCGCTTTGAAACAGAGGTTTGGGGCAACTTATATTGCGCCATTCACACCAAGGCTTAATGGCGTGAATGGTCAATGGTTTGAATGGTTTTTAACCCTAAAAACATGTTTTAAAGCTGCTTAGTTAGACACGGTTGTGTGGCTAGATTTTTATCGGCTGCAAATTTAGTACAGTGAAAGCACATGTGATAACTTGCTGAAATCTTGTTAAATCCAATCCTTCATTTTCCTTTGACTGATTTTCATATTATTTAATCTGGTATTTACTAAACATCTTTTCGTGGACATTAAATTCCGCAAACAGAATACTGCAATACTGATCGTACCACGTGAAAATTAACTCTGCAAGACATCAACACGACGCCGAAAGAACTGAAAACAGAATTGTAGCCATAGACAGCTGTTTCGCCCTCTTTGGGGCTCATCAGCATGGCGTAACAACCAGAGAAAGCTCTGATGAAAAGTATCCGCGCACTCTTATGTTTAAGCCCTGACCTAGAACTCTCAACAGTCACAGAATCACGCCATGCT